CCTTTAAAAATAATGGCTGTAATCAGCGCCTCACAAGCCGCTGATGACCGCTATTAACAAAAATACCGGGCGCCGGCACCGCTGCTGCCGGCCGCCGGCATCTGGAGTCTCTCATCCCTGCCTGAAGCTGCTCCATGCAGGGATGAGAGACTCCATGGATCCCCACTGCTGTCCCCCACTTGTAGAGTCTGTAGCAGTGGGGATCCGATTTAAAATTGGCTGGCGGGGGGGAGCGGCGGCTGGCCGCAATTCAGGATGGCCGAGCGGCATAGTGATCGGAGCCGCTGTCATCCTGTCAGTTTTTGAATGACTCTCATTTGTTTTACCTTTTCGCAAAAAGGCGCAATTTCAAATTTGCAAATATTTGTTACTTATTAACTCAATACAGTTTTATCTTTTAGATTTAGTCAGAAAATATAATATTTGTTTTGTGCGCTGATACTGATTTTAGGGCTTTATCAATTGTGTATTTTTATCGGGTTAATATTAATTTGAGAAACATTTGCACAATTAACGCAGGGCATACAAATTTAGTATCACCATCTTTTTATTCTACCGGGCCTGCGCTTTCAGAAAATATATGGTTTGGGGGGTCTTTTACAAACGCTAGCAACCCAGCAGTTGAAAATCAAATCAATGGGAAAAAATTGCAAAAAATGCAAAAATGGCTTGGCCAGCTGAATTGAAAAAGGTTTTGGAGGGCTTGGCAGCGAAAGGGTTAATGAAAGTGTAGTTCTCCATTAACTGATAATTAAAGCAAATTATTTGTTTAGTTCAATTGTTTGCTACAAAAATGATTCTACAAAGCCTTCAGACGCAGTGACATTCAGTTACTACAACAATGGGCAGCACTGGATACTCGCAGGGGAGATGATTGACTTATAAAGGGGAATTGTTACTCTTTCAGGTGAGAGTCTCCATTGCTCAGAGAAAACAGTGAGGACTATGTAATGTCTGCATGCTTTTAGTGTCGGCTTTATGTTTCTTCCTATACAGAAAGCATTATTCTGTATGTCAGCCGTGCTTGGATACAGCACACTGCTTTTCAGATGGAGTATAAAAGCTAAGATTTTTATTTGATAATCCTTTTTATCTAAAATGCATTCATTATAGATTATGTTGTTCATGTTGGCATATATCCTTTTTTTTCCCGGTTGAATGAGTTAGCCCCTATGAGAGATCTATCACACCAGTGTCTGACACATTCAGTGCATAATTTGTGCAGATGGTTTTGCTGGACACCGGCTGTGCTGGCTGTGCAAAGATCTGTAATGAATTTGAACCCCCAGCAGTTATTAACATAAAACATATCACAGTTAAAAGTGGGCAAGTGATGTTTTATACCAATGCAGTGATACGTCTGTGCAGCCAAGGGAAGAATTAATGGATTCAGCTACATTTGCTAAAGCAAATTGGTCTCATAAAGTGTAACATTGCTCCTGTTTTGCACCACCTTGCATTGCAGCAGAATTGATTTAAATCTCCTCTACTGTCTAAATTGCAGCGCTAACAGTTTCTTCTACATATTGTATAACATCATTTAAAACAAGCAGTGTAAACTGTCAGAGTAACGGGGGAAAAAATAACAGAATATAAATGCGCCTTTCTGATATGTTTACTAACATAGTTTAATACCACAAATCCTAGTCCTTTTTATTTCAAAACTGTTATGTAATGTGTACATTTTGTCTTTGGTAACGGTTCTGTTTGAACGTGTCATCTTCAGGATGGAAGTCTGCAGTGCCCTTCTTGTAAGACCATTTATGGGGAAAAGACTGGAACGCAGCCCAAAGGAAAGATGGAAATCTATTTAATCCCTCAGTCTTTGCCTGGTCATCAAGATTGTGGCACAATCCACATTATATACACCATTATTACAGGAATACAGGTAAAAAAAAAATTCTGCACATTTTATTTATGCTGGTGGAAATTACTTTTGAATTATATCAACATAGTTTCATAACCTTGTGTTTTTTGAAACCGTACTTTGTCTCATCTGAGCAAGAAAACCAGGGGCAGGGCTCCCTATCCACCTTTTATAAAAAATATTTTTATTTCATGAGATGACTTCTATTAATCAGTACATGCAGGTCTTTATTTAGATCAAACAGATGCACCGCGCTAATCAATCATAATGCGTGAATAATAAAGTGCTAGATATCAAATAAATCACATATAACCCATATGGTTCATAAATACTCATAAATAATAAAATGTGTCTCTCATTGTAATATCTCCAGTAGAGATTAAGTGCAAATTGATAAATTATGAAGTCCACCATTAATTGATGCAGACAAAGTGCCAAGATGTAAATAATCATCAGTGATAAGTCCTTCTTATAGCTGTAGTGCTCAAACTCCCGGTGACTGTGAAACACACCGCACTCACCAAGAGGCATAATGATCCCACGGTGAGCGTTTGCTCCTCCACTCGCAGTAAGAGCTTCCTCCTCCACTCGGTGCTCTTTCACTGAAAAGCTTCCAGTTCAGGTGAGGTCGTTTACAAAATGTATCCATTCCCTGGAGAGGATAATAAACAGTGTAATATGCCAAAACAGGTTTTTATTTTAAAAACGATTAAAAACACTTACAAGATTCCCAGAAACAATCGCTTTTTAAAAAAAAATATTCCACACCGGTTGTGGGAGACCCCGACTTTGCAGCGGGAACAGATAATCCGCGGTTCAATAAACTAGTGACTGCTGACCGATATAGACTACTTGACTTCCGTACAGACTCCGATTGGCTATCGTGCCCAGCCATACGGTCCCTGACTGACCCTCCGCTTGACCCCTGGAGTGTCATGCAACTTAGACACTTTCTGAGAGTGATTCCGAACCCCCGAGCCCTAGACAGACCCCTCACAGACTACGAAAAGATGTGTGTGGGGAAAGTACCCACACGACATGCCATCTCCATCATATACAAATTGCTCAGCATACCCGCTTCCACCTCTCGGCCCCCGTTTTTGGAGTCCTGGGAGCGTGACCTGGGCCTCGTGTTCACTGAACAACAAACTCATACCATGTCCTACAAGTCCTCCATGGCCAGCAAAGTCCAAGAAATGGGATACAAGATACTATGCCGCTGGTATAGGGTCCCTTGGCTATGGCACAGAATGATACCTTCTATCACAGCCCAGTGTTGGAGGTGTGGTTCCGATTCTGGTACAATGTTCCATATCTTCTGGTCCTGCCCAGGGTTGAAGCCCTTCTGGGACGAGATGTTGACTGTCATCCAGGACCTGACCATGACGGATCTCAGAAATAAGCCGGCAGCATGTCTACTACACATGTCTGCCGCCCCACTCTCTGCCAGGCCTGTGCTCGGACTAACTGTTTAATTGGGAATTTTGGGGGGACCCCACGTTTTTCCCTCCCATTTTTAGGGGTAGGGTTCCTCCCTAAAAATCCCTGCCCAGGTATGACTTTGGAGGGAGCCCTGCGCATTTTTTTTCTTTTAACTTTGGGTCCCTCCTAACTTCTCTACCAGACTTAGAGTCTGTTATGGATCAGGAGGGGGGACCCCACGATTTTAAAAAAATAAATTATTTACATGTCATTTTTTTATTCTATTTGCTACCTCGGAGGTAGCGAGCAGAGTAACGGAGCCAAATGTCATTCGGCTATTCACTTACTGACGTTCGGCCCCTATGAGAATAGGGGCAAATGGCAGCGATTGAACTGCCGGAGATTCGGCTCAGCCTATCCTGAAATCAGCCGTATAGGGCCGAAGTGAATAGCCAAACAGCGATCAGCTCACTTCACTTCAGCTTGGTTATTCACTCGGGTGCCTTTGGCAGCTAAGTGAATAACCCCCTTACACTTGCAGACCATTCAATTCCTGCTTTGAAAGGGCAAAATGACTTCAGTTTGGCAAAGCATTGCCCACTGGGATTACCTTGTCATCAGCAGAGCATTGCTGGGAAATCTCATCTGTAATCTCAGGGTAAGGCATTTTCTTTTTCTGAGATGATGTCACAAGTCCTAGTCACAAGTCTAGTCGCATGTGCCAGAAATCCAGGAAGTAATAGGAGAGCTAGTAATCTGCCCTTAGTAAACATGGCCACTGTCTGAAGACTGGGGAAGAAAAGAGAAACAAGGTATGTAAAGAATACAAAGTCTGCAATTATCTAGACGTATGTGTTTGTAGATTGTCATTACTAAACATTTCTAAAGGTGTGTTTTGTTGTAATTTTAAAGATATGGGTAAATGTTTTCTTTTATGATGTGTGGTTGAACATACTCAGATTTCATGAGACAGAAAGGATACTGGTGCTTCTGGCTGGCCATAAACATCTGGTCATGCTTTAATGACTCACGCCTAACCAGAACCCACCAAAACAGTTTTCCCAGGTTGGCTGATGGACAAATTCCTGCAAAGATGGGAGAATTGCCCTTCATTGGCTGCGGCTCCTGGTCCAGTTTGCATGCTGATCTTAGGTCTCTAATGGAAAAAGGGGTACTTTCAAAACATAATAAGGCATTCTTACATCTGGTGACACCATCTATCTACAGGGTCCAGAACACCCAAACCCAGGAAGGCCTTATACAGCACGGGGCTTCCCTCGTCACTGTTATCTTCCAGACAATGACAGAGGAAGATTGGTAAGTAAAATTAACATATTTAGAAGATAGAATCATACTTAAAAGCCTTTACTTTCAGGTATCATGTATGCATTTTATATTGGTGAAGTTTGTCTTACTCCTCAGCTGAAAGTGTTGTCCACAGATTGTTCTTCTCTTTATTGAATAACAGAAGCCTGACTTCTGACTGGGTTGAGCTGTGCACTTTAATCAACTTATGAAACATATCAAAAAGTGTGTGTAGATATATAAATTACATATTTTTAGGCAGGTAGGACACAACACACTTGCAAACTTCAACTTTGAATTTCCTGGTTTGTCTTCACTTTCACACCAAATGCATGGTTCAGTTGGAATGTGCCCCTAACATGCATCTTTTCCTCCCCATACTGTAGCAGTACTGAGCTACAGTTTACAGAGCTAGCTATCAAACTATGATAATGGAGACTTCCTGAAATTTGTATCCAGAACTTACCTGGTCCCTTTAAGACTAATATATCTTTAATAGAATCTCCCCTAAATGTTTTATAAGCTGTTTAGCCAAGCTGGACATGGCATATCTGGTGGTCCTTGAGTGAACTTTTGAATGCAAATCTCCCATATGTTACTACTGTCTTTAGGTCTGGTTCACATCTTGGCGGCCCTGGAACTGCGGTTGCTGCGCGACCCTGTTGATTTCAATGGGGTCATATCCGTGCGGCAAAAAGGCTCATGCACAATTTTTGTGCGATTGAGAGACCCACGTTTTTTTGCGGCGCATCGATTGCTAGCCATAATAGGCAATAGTGGCATTAGAAATGAATGGCTCCACAAACGCGGTTTGCATTTGTGTACAATTCTGGAATCGTGCAGCGAACACGCACGAAACCGCGTGGATCGCCCAGGTGTGAACCGGGCCTCAGTGGTGTCATACCCTAAGCCTATAAATGATTTTTTGGGCAATTTGCTTCTGCGACTAAACTGCAAAGAGAAAGGAATAGGGATATGACGCGTTCTGTAATCAAAAACAAGAATAAATGAATAATTTGTATGAAAATTGACTCTATATAAATTTATAACATGGATCAGGTAAAATAAAACCCTTTGAAACCATGATTAAATATTTTAGCATTAATAGGTTAAGACATACAATACTTCAACAATTTAACAGACTCTTATTGGGTTGTATCTCATGGATGGGAGGTGGTTCTGCAAAGCTGAATTTGAATTTATAAGATATTACAAATAGTCTATTACAAAAGTTTATTATTGGAGCTATTTTAGTTACTACACAGCCAGGTAATACATTCTTATTTTCTTTGCAGTGGGGAGGAATCTGATTTGTAATTTCTGAAACTATCATCCTGAAAAGCATATTATTTATGGCATTTGGATGCTGGCACAGCATACATAGAGAAAATAGGGAATCCCTTATTGTACCATATTTTGTCACTCAGCTGTAGATCCTCAAATCATCTCTGAATTCTTGTGACACTGTCCTTCCTTCTGGAGGGTGGCTACTTTTGTTCCCCCATGGTCCCTGTGTGTGTTGTAAAGTAGCCACCACTCCAAGCTCGCTCCTGTGATGGACTATAATTAAATTAGTAGAGGTGCACCGAAATGAAAATTTCAAAACCGAAATGAAAAAAAATGTCAGGCCGAAACCGAACATGTTTTTTATTCTAACTTTTTCAAATTTGTAATATTTTATTTATTTTTTATAAACTTTAATTTTTTTATATTTTATTCATTTGTATTAAATATTTTTATGTTCTACTTTCCTGTTGGGGGCTTTGAGGAAATATTAGGTGTCTAAACAGATATGTTTTTTTTTTAAATAGAAAAAGAGATATGAATAAACAGGAAAACTCTGTGTCCTCAAACTTGTGGACATAGTATGTTTACCATGTCCACAATCATGAATGAACAGGAAGTGATCACTCCCATTCATTCATAATTGGGGACATTGTAAACATACTATGCCCTTAATTATTTACAAACACTCAGCGATCACTGAGTGCTTGTACCCGCTCTCCATCCTGACTCTGTCACAATAGGCTGGACGGGGCAGTGCGGGAGGAGAGCTCAGCCTCCTGTGACAGCTATGACAGCTGTCTCCACCCACATCGCCGCTCTTCACCCTGGCACGCTGTCACAGGAGGCTGGACGGGGCAGTGCGGAAGCTCATCCTCCTGTGACGGCAATGACTGTCTCTGCCCACACCGCCATTCTCCTGATCTGTGACGGCTGCTCACAGCGCTCTCCTCCTGCACCACTCAGCCTCCTGTGACAGTTTCTCTCCACCCCGCTGGAACACAGAGCAGCGCCCAGCAGGGAGGAGAAAAATCACAAATACACCACTATTTCGGGCAAAGAATGGCACTTTCGGCCGATATGTTTCGGCGGCTGATATATCGGTGCATCCCTACAAATTGGTAAACTAAACGTGAGATTGTAGTCCATCACGGAGCAAGCTTGAAATGGTGGCTACTTTACAACACACACAGGGACCATGAGGAACAAAAGTATTCACCCTCCAGAAGGAAGGACAGTGTTGGCACCAATTCAGAGATGATTTGAGCAACTACAGCTGAGTAATGTACAAATATTTTGTTAAGTCAAGCTACTTGAAATGCATTTTTAAGATTCAACTACGGAGTTCTGTCAGTTTAATGCACAAGCTTACTATACTTATAAATACAGATACAGCACAGTCAAAACATGTCTTATTTACTATCTATCTAGTTCCTGTCCTCATTTACCAGGAAGTGGTGAAGCAAATGAGCTGAGTTTGATTGAGCTTTGTATTGCTATATTGTTTATCTGGTTGTTAAATTGTTCCACCTGCTGGCTGTTTGAAAGCAGTGCATCATTTGATAGTAGAGCACTGTAGTAGAAAAGTGGCCATAACAGTAGCATTTAGCTGTTCAATAAACTGAAACACTTTACTCCTCCAGCCAATCTGCTCCCATTAAGGTTAAAAAGGGTCTGAGGCTTTGCTCAGGCAGAGCAGCTGAAAGTGACTTCAGGGAATTCTTATTAGGGAAAAAGTAATTGATATTAAAGATCAGTTTGAACAGATACTGAATTGTGGCCGAGCATAAATGGGAATCACCCACATACCACTTCTATCTCTCCAAGAGTCCATTGTTGAGTTAAACCCTCAGTAGTGTGGTTTGTGTGCTTGTTCCTCACACGTGTTTATAGCAGGTGTCCCTTTCTTGTAGCTGGGTTTCTCATTTATTTGTTTAAGGAGAATCCATCTGAAGAGTATGACATCATTTTGCTTTGTAATGTCTACAGGGAGTTCTGGAAGTGATGTCATACCACCAAAATATGATACCAGCATCTGATACAGGTTGTTAGCAATCACACAAAACAGAAATATCAAATGATATTCAGTTGAACCGTACCACCATTGCGTGCTGTCCAAGGAATACCATATAATGCAAGTCAGACAAATTCCACTGAACAACAAATAGTCGCACTGTTGGCAAAATATATAAACTTAAATACATACACACCGTAAATGTAATAATTTATTGAAAATAAACTTTAATAAATGCATGGTAATAGTATTACAGGGCTCACAAGTTCAGGTTCTGAGCTACTAGCCAGGCCTTAAAAATGACTCACCACCAGTTGCCCTGCCTGACCCACTCCATCCTGTCCTTCTCCCCTCCCTTAACTCTGTCCTCTCCCATTTTTAACTCTGCCCTTAATAGAGATAAAAATAAACTCACCAGACAAGTAGTAAAGTCACTGGCTGGATTACAGGAATATTAGGGGGCACAGGGCAGGTAATAGGGGGAATTATTTTATTTTATTTACTTTAACTTTTGTCTCTGTCAGTTAGTGCTGACAGGGAGAGAACGGGAGATGGTGAGCTAACGGGTAACACTGCCTTGCCATTTATATCGGGCAGTGATTGTGCTAGGCCGTCACTCTCACTGCCTGAAAGGTTGCTATTACTATCTGTACCGCTTTAGGGGCAACCAGTTATAGCCCAGTGACAGCTGATCCCAGCAAAGATTAAGATCTGCTGTCATTTAGGGCTTCTGATTGCTAGGACTAATTGTCACAGCCATCAGAAGCCCTGATCAGCCAGTTGCATCTATTACTGAACGCCTCTTTGCAGATGATTTTTAACAGCTGGGTAAATGCTGCCTGTGAATGATAGGGGTGTGATTGTGCACTCCTTTCATTCTAACAATAACGTTGGATTCCATTAACAAATGCGCTGCATGTGAGGCATCCATTAATACCTAGGAGCCACCAATGCCCAGGATATTAGGTGGTAATAGGCGGTCATGGGGGCCCATGTGGCCTGCCCACATGCAAGCCCTGCTCACCCTCAATAGGGTGGGAATTACACACTAATTGATGGAGCCCTATACTTAAGTACAGGGCTCCATCAATTCAGCTGTAATTCGCTCCATAACATACACACACATGGTATTACACGCACAGCACAACACACGGCATATCACATGCACAGAGCATAACAAACAGCATAACATACACCACATAACACACACAGCACAACAGCCCTGCTTAGGGGTGGTTGGTGCCAGCTGGTGAACGCTTTGTGAGACTTTGGCATTTTAGTTGCTCTAATTGTAGTTACTCTTGTGAGGTCAGGTTATTCCGTTCAGCCGAAGTGCCCAGTATATTGTCAAAATAAGGTAATGGATAAATTACACATACAGCCACAGCAAAACACACTGCGCATTGCATATATCCCCAGAGCACAACACACAAGGCATTACACATACAGCCACAGCAAAACACAGAGCATTACACATACAGCCACAGCAAAACACAGAGCATTACACATACAGCCACAGCAAAACAAACAGGGCATTACACATACACCCACAGCACAACACACAGGGCATTACAAATACAGCCACAGCACAACACATGGCACACCGACCCATCTCTATGTCCCCCTCAATTACCTGCTGACAGGGGCCTGGCACTTGAGACTAAGCCAGGTCCCATGCATAGTAGTTGTTGCAGCACAGCAATTTGCTCTGCCAGTCCACCCGTGCTCTGCCAGTCCGCCCCAGGGCTTACCGTGTGTATTGTGATGTCCGCACAGTTGGGGACCTTAGTAAAGATGGCTGCCGTCATGCGGCCATCTTTAACATGGGAAGGTGCATGGCTGTGAGCAGCAGCATACGGGAAAGCCATCTGGGATCCCTCCAGGAGTTGGGCACTTGTTCCATGACCGAGTACATGACTCAATGTCTTCATTTCCACTCGACCCCACGCAATTTTTACTCGCCAATTGCGAGGACACAAGTGGAAATTTTGTATTACTAATACAAATGAGGCCAAAATGCTGCCCATAACCCATAAAACATTGAAAACTGGTAAATATGCTAGCACATTGATTGGGAATGTTTTTATGGGGTACAGTTGCTTTTGGTCTAGTTTGTACTATTGTGTTTTTGTTGCGGTTAAATATGTCTGGTGTTCAATACAAAAATATCAGTTCTAGTTGAATTGGTCATATTCAACAGAAAGAAAACATTTAAAGCTACAGTTTAATTAAATGTTTTTCTTTTAAATAGAAGCAGGGACATTACTTACAGCTAATGAAGTGTGTCCCACGTCCTGCTGGTTTCTTCAGAAATCCTCTTTAGTAATGCTGGAGCCTCTTCACAGTGGTGGACTTCCAGCGCTGTATGAGTTGACTGCCTCTGCTGTTACAGAACCCAGCCCTGCTCGCCTGCCCCTTACACCCCTCTGCCCATTCACAGCAATCCTTGCATTGCTTTCACATTATGTAAAGCTTTCTGTAAGTGGAGAAGGGGGTCCTGTCATCCATTTGCCACTCAGAGTAAAAGGAATGCAAAGGGGCATTAGGGGAGGGCAAACAGCACCAGATTCTTTAACAACTGAAGCAGTTAATATATACAGCACCAGAAGTCCACCACTATGAGCATCCAACATCACTGAACACAGGATTTCTAAAGAGACCAGCAGCAGGACATTGGACACACTTCATTAGAGCCACGTTATGTCCCTGCCGCTGTTTACTAGAAAATAAATGTAATTAGATTTCAGCTTTAAGCAAACATCTCAATTAATAAAGTCAAAAATATAAGTTTTGTTGACTCATGTTTTACTTTTTTTTTAGGTACTAGAGCTTCTAAAGGTTGCCTGGGCCAGGCGATTGATCTTCACCATTGGCGTTTCGAGCACAACGGGTGAATCTGACACTGTGGTGTGGAATGAAATCCATCACAAGACAGAAATGACCTCAAACATAACTGGACATGGTTACCCTGACACAAACTACCTGAACAATGTTCTTGCTGAGCTTGCAGCTCAGGGAGTGTCAGAAGACTGCTTAAACATGTAAAAGACTATCTAGCTGGCTGCCTACTTGTGATTTTGTTGGGGGTGGCGTTCAGTTCATTTACACGATGCCTTAAATTTTTGGTTTCATTTTGCATTATATATAATATATATATTTTGGTAAAGCAATACATATATATCAGGGGTTTACAAAAATGCTGGGGAAATATTAGGTTGACACAAAACTAGCATGCAAGCATATTACCAACCCTGCAGGACAGGGGGCATTATTATAAGTGTTCCATCTCGTCTTTTCCAATGTGTGTTACAGATCTACACCAAAAAAGATTTGCTTGTTTTGGTGGGTGGTGCAGGTAATGGGGCAGCCTGCATGTTAAATTTGTTTATCCCTTCTGCGAATCTCTAAGATCAAGCCGGTTTTTTTCCCAATCATTGCTCTTGCCTGCATACAATACTGTTGTCTGCCTGTGCATTACGTGTTTAGGGGCAGACCCATAAGGACACACTGATTAAGACAAAAAGCAATATGCAAGTGTACTAGCCAATAGAAATGGATCAGTATGGGCATTTCAGTGATTTTACTCCAGTAAAGTGAAATCAATGGCTAGACACTATTCACATAATTCCTGTTTGTACTATGTTTTCAACTAACCCAATAGCTCAAAGTGGTTATTGTCTTTTTTTTATTTATTTTTTTCACATCAAGACTGCAGAGATTACTTTTAAGTTTATTCTTTACCTGATCACTTCACTCTGCATCCCCAAAGTGGATTAAAAAAAGAGCAGAAGCTAATCGCCCCATTGATTAAAGAGAAAAATTATTGAAATGTAACAAATACTCTCCTAAATTTTGGGTCAAGTAACATGTCGGTCCCTAGTCTTTCCTCTTCTTCTGAACTGCAGAGTGGTAGGGTCCTTCCTTGGGTTCCCACCTTGCTGTTTAGTGATGTAGACACCACCTATTGACTGTGCATTTGGCAGGGGTCCTCGCAAGTTCAGAAGGTACCAGCAGCACCGACTGGATCACCAGTCTTTATTCCAGAAAGAGGTGTTGCTGCGAGTCATGTAATAGGGTGAGTGGAAATAAGGCTTAGGAAGGTTTTAAAAAAATATGTGAGTGAGTGGGAAGGATAGAGGTTACAGCACACTCGCCACAGAGTAGATTTTAAAATTTTAGGCTTTTAGGAACTAAAGCCTATCACGGCTCAAGCTCGGACAGCTTCCTGCTTGTGTTTCTGAGGGCTATATTACTGTTATACATAATGCAGTTTGGCCCTTTTTCTTGATTCTTAGCTGCTTAAAGGGCACCATAGGTACTTCTGCAGCTCACATTCTCAAAGATGGAAAGCTGTGAGTTTACTGATTTGCCTAACTGGATATCTCCTTTAATAGGTTTGGATAGAGGTCACTTTTCAGACCATTCATGGAAAAGGAAACTTAGTGTAACTTAACTTTTCATAAAACCATCAGAACTGCCTCCCCTACCCCATTCATCATAAAAAGTAAATTGGTACACATACCTGAGATGTAGACACTCTGCTCTATTGCTGCCACGGCCTTCATAACCTTTGTATAATAGTGTATCCAAACCCAAAAAGAAAAAATGTCATATATTTCAGCTTACCAGTCCTTGGATGTGGTGGCTGCATTAGTTTGCACTCTTTTTTGCTTATGTTTCACCTGGTGAACCTGCAAATAACACACTTCCTGTTTCTTTATGGTTACAATTTTTTCCTTTACTGTATAGGTGCAGCCATGGTTGTCACAAAAACTGGACTTCAATCATGTTTGCCTTTTGTTCATCTTCATTAAATGGTGGATTGATGGGACTAGTAGTAATATACTGCATTTCTCTCATGATCAACAGATATATTCTGTACTTTCTGAAACGTTACAAGCCTCAAAAAGAAAACTAATGTAGCCACTACATCTAAAGTCTGATGATCTATAATATATAAGATTTTTGTTTTTGGGCTTTGGTACTCTTTTTAAGGTCTTTAGACCAGGAGCTGTGTTTGAACTGTGCAGTACAAATGCCTGGCTCCAGCTCTCAACAAAATATTGCCAGGTACTGCTGCAACATCTGCATCTAAGATCTACAGTGTGTACCGATTGTCTTTTTTGCTTCAAGAGAGGCAATGCCCTTGTTTTACAAATGTTACACACGTCAGTTTTTTTTATGGTACTGACCTTCAAAAAACATCTAGAGCCCTAGAGGTGGACTTTTCTAAATGAACACTAGCTGAAAGTGGCAATCTGACCAGTGACATCAGGAAATGGTTGGATGTGCAAGCATAATCCAACCATCCTATGATGTATACAGGCACAGCTTCTGACCTAAGCAGGAATGCATTGTGAGGAGCAGGGAAGACTCCAGTTCACAGGGAAAGCCAGTCCAAGCGCTATTTTATGTCAAGGAAAACGGTAGGATTCGCACAATCTTTCTAATGTATCTGGCAGCTTCATCCAATGGGAAACTTTGGTTGGGACTACTTCACTGGAATTGGGTTGTCTCCTGATCTGGCTAAGAATGTTCAGATTGGAGAACTGTTAGCCAGTGTATGTGGTCACCCTAAAGCTTACCACACACGTTATGATCTGATTAAACAATCTCTGTTAGATCTACAAACAAGTATGTAGTGCAAGGGATGCCTGACTGGATACAGATTGGATAGTTTTGATAGGTCCTCATATTACATAGTTTTGGTAAATTTAAAGTTGATTGTATGCTCAAAATGTAACGTGTGGGGAGCCTAACTTGGAAGTCACTTTGGGGCTTATGAATGAAACTCTGCTAACAAGAAAAGTTTTTGCTGCCAGTACCAAATATATTCAGCTTTCAGTTGTCAGGTCTGCAGTGGAAACGTTTGATTGGTGACTATGGGTAACAAGAACTGTTAGTACATTTTCATATCTAAGCCTTTAATTGAATTTGTGCAAACAAATAAAGTACTGTATCCCGTACCAGCCAGTTACTTATCAGCCTTTAGCAGTTTAATGCAGAGTAATAGTGGTTTTCTTCTGCTGGGATACTGTGCTATTTTTTGCATCCGGTTCAGTAAATCAAGTAAATAAAGCAGTTTGTCTCTTTCCTTTGCTAGTGATCAACTTCTTGTGGCAAAGTTGGAAAAAAAAAGGTTGGTATTTGTTAGTCTTCTTATCCCCTTTTACATGTGTATTTTTTGTTCATCAAAGTATACCTACATTATATGCCACATTTAGCAAAACTGCTGATAAACATTTAGCATTTAATTGTTGGAGGTTCAAAACTTATTCTCTGAGAAAAGAAGATTGTGAAAACTTTTCCTTCATTGGTTGCTTTACCAGCACCATTTGTAATAATAAAGTGTATTCTAATTAATAAGAAATATTTTATGCAGATAGCTCATTTTTTAAGGAAATCTTTCAAATGTATTTGGATTTTAGTTGTCTTCTCTATTCTTGCTTTGTACATTGCTGGATTTTGTTGATATGACACTCATTTTAAATGTAAGATAGTGCCTTGAACACTGAGAATATGACATGATGTGTTGTCTATTCTGGTTTCTTTCATTGCATCCATGATTGCGTAAAGAGTCTTCTATGTTTCTGCCACACCACATATCTCAGTGTTCTTCCTAATGCTGTAAGGATACAAGAGGCACCCAAATTGCAGATGCCTAACATATGCTACAAAAGGGTGAATTACTGTAAATTTAGTTGGCTCTGAAAGCAAATGAGCACACCTTAAAACACATTCACACTTTGCTACGTTCATACTACCTTGCGTGGACAGATGCGGAGCACACATCATCATACATGCACTTCATAGTACATTTTACATACATATTTTTATGGGTTAGTAAGATTATGCATCCATAGATTTAAATGTAGTATTGCTGTGAGGGAGGGGAAGGCCTTGCATAAATTACAATGACCTCAGAACACTCCTTAGCTCCAAGCTGGTACTCCACCCTGTGAAGAGAATGAGCTGTAGGTTGATCTTCAGGTCTCCTGATGCATAATGAGCCAGCAAGACCTTGGAAGCTGCAGAACAAGCATTTAGCAAACCTTCCCTGAAATCAGATGCTGAATTTTACAGGATCATTTCATAAGGGGCTGTTAAATGAATCACCCACTGGTTAAAAAAAAAAAGTAGTATATTTTCTTTGTTAAGATGGGGCATTTTTAATTTAATATATTTTTACTTTTTTGTCAGGTAAATATAGATATTCAGTATTTTCTTTTCAAACAAGCAGGTAGTATTCTGGTCTCATTTTCATGTGTTTTTCCAGGCTCTACTTACCTGCTTTGCTACAAAAAGCCTGTTTACAGAGCTTAAAGGAGAAGTATTGGGAGAATAAAATGTACTCTCCAATATTTAGAGCTGGGGTGTCACACTGCAGGTGTCACATGCCGGCTCTATAGATCAAGAACTGAGTGATCACAAACTGCTGATCGCTCAGTTCACAGTTTTCTCCCTGTGAGAGTGGTGACTGACAGTCACTGCTCCTCGCAGGCATTCCCCCTCCCCTCTCTGTTCGCCCAGTGCTCATTGGAGCAACAGACAGGAGTGGGGGCGGGCACAGCTGGCTCTAGACAGGCAGACCAAGCTGTCAATCAGCAGTGGCCTGGATTGTCAGGATATTTCCCGGCTGCAGCGTAGCTCTGAGCTGTCAGCAAATAGCTGGCTTTGGGTAACAGGAGTACATTAGTAAATGTGTTCCTTTGACCCAAAAGAGTACTAAAGCCAACAAAAAGTCTGCTGTCCCTTTTTTTCACAAGGTGAAAGGGACAGCAGAGCAGTGATTCCTCCCCTTCCCTTCCTGCTCTGTTTAAACAGGCAAGGCCCAGCATCAATCAGAGTTTAAAAGCATACCTATTAATGCTCTGTGAATTCTGTGTCATTTGTGTGCCCTGAATTAAATGATTATTTGTATTAAACGGTAAGCGCATGCATAAAACACCTGATTTTACACTTCTAAAAAAAAAAACTGGCCCAAACCATCATAGTTTTCATTCAATATAAATTCCTACATTGGTCTAGGGATGCATGCAGCCCCCAAAAACAGCTGTTTGGCATGCCTGGTGAAGAACAAGGTGGACAAACATTCAAAGCCAAATGTACTGTAAATGTAACACAAATTTGAGCTGCCTTTACAAGTCCCTGGCGCTCTCTTGAGAATCTACCAGTTATGCATGTGTTTCTCTTTAAGTACATTCATGGTTTTTATATGAGGCCAAAATTCTTTATGACCTGGTTTTCCTCCCACTTGTCTTCAGGGTTTTTTTTTGTTTTTTT